CAGTAATGGACCTCTTTTTCCAACATTTCCACCCACAAAGATATGACAACACAGAAGCCAGTAACAACACAGGCCTTCCTCCTGATCCTCCAAAACCTCAGCCCCAATCACTCCCTGGAGCAGAGGAGTAGTAGAGATTTATCCTCCTGGAACAAGTCTCATGCACCCTCCACAACTACATTATTCAACCTTTCCATTAGGTCTGCCTTCTCTCTGCTGAAATTCTGTTCTTTATATTGCAATGGCTAAATGACATTGCAGTTAAGGTAGACAACTTCCAACAAGCCCTTGATCTGCAAATCGTCCATGGTAATCAGGGGATTAAAAAGGCAGTGGAAGCTGGCCACATTGGAATTCCAACCGCCTGCTCTATAACATCAACAGGGTATCTGGAAGTCATTGATACAGCCAAATACCACCGTGTGTTACTGAAAAAGCAACTCCTCCTATAAATCCATCAGAACACCCCTAGATGGAACAGCTGCAAGACTATTGTGACCTCCCTATCGCATATCCTAAATTGCCAGAATAGAACAATTGATTTGAAAGATTTCCACTACTTACCCAGTCCAAGAAAAGTTAAGTAGATGCTCCTGAGTTTCAGCCATGATCTCTCCCCACCACATTCACACAAATGAGCAAATTCCTATGGCAGACTCACCATATCCGAACAGAGTCTTTAAGGATGAATTAGTCCATGACCTCATCACTGGGAAGTGACAAATGGTCATGACCTTGCAGACAAGAGCCATAAAAAATTATGCACCAAATGTGGTAAACCTGCCAGCCATGCCAAGAGCGAAGAGCCTAAGCACACTGCAAGAGAGGAAATTAAATCTATAAACACAGAACTCATTAAGTCTGAGAAAAAAAACTAGCAGACATCAAAACAATAATTCTGACATATCCTCCCAGACCTGGTAGTGATATGGAAGTCCAGCACCAATGGACTACAGCTGCCTCATTGTGCTGCTCATCTTCTAAACCATCACACACTGTTGCCTCTCCTCCGACTTGGACACACAGAAAGCTGTCGACACACTACTCTGACTTCCTCACCAATAACAGTGAAAGTGACACTGACAGTGACTCCTCTGAGAGCTCCACACCAGCAATATTCAAGGCACCCATGAAACCCCAAGTATCTGATGCCCAAACAAAACTGCCTGGCAAACAATACAAACCTCAGCCAAGCTCTACAGAAACCTAATCTGGAGGTACACCCCCATATGCTTCCAAATCTGAGGGGCCTCCCCTGGTTCTGGGGGAACCTGACTCACAGGAGAAACAGCTCCCCCCACCTCTTATTTCACTGGACAGGCCAAAGGATGCTCCCCTACTAAAGAGGTGGGATCCCTGCTTGCCCGGGTCGCAAGGATTACAGAGAGAAGTGAGTTTGAAGGAAGAAAAACTCAGCTTAAAAAAAAGAAAAAGAGAGAAAGAAAGATTTACCCATGGCAATATCTGCCTTTTTGTTCAAGTCATTCTGATTCTTGAAGCCTAACGAAGTGTTGCACAAATGATTCCAGCCACGGAGCTGGCCTTGCACTGCTGTAACGTAACAGTCTCTTTAGCAGCAGTGTCCACAAGAAGAGTCTGTATTTTCCTGTCTCCAATACATAAAATATGGCATCTGTGTGAGTTTCTCCTTTCCCCTCATCTTGCATCTCTGAGTGCACATGCTCACTGGCTGGCTTGGGGATGGCAGCCCATTTTCCGACTCAATCTTTCATCACTTCCCCATCACAGCAACCTTGAGCTCCTTCTGTTCTTTTGAGCTTTCAGGGTTCTACTTCTGAAGAGCAACAGAGAGAACCCTATACCTGCTTAGATCACGTTTTTCCACTATTCAAGTGGATCATGTTTTTCCACTATTCAAATCTGTGACCACTCCCATCAAGAGAAACCTAACTTTAAGTATAAGGAACACTCACACTCTTTTCCCCAGGTATTTTCATCCTGATGGTCCTTCCCAGTATAAGAGAGGGGTGTATCTTTTTTTCTAGGATTTGGGCCAAATTTCAGTGTTGCTTTTCATGCCAAATGATACACATATCAAGCCAAATCAAATCAATATTTATTATGTCCATTGAGCAGCATACACTTCTAATGAAGGCTGAGGAAGAAGGAAGAATACATTTCATTTCATTTCACTAAATGTTCAATATTATTAAAATCTGATAATAGATTACAGCGGAAATAGAATGATGGATAGAGAGTGAGCGCTTATGACCCAGCTTGCCACCTTTTTGTAAATACAGTTATATGTACCATTTTCTGAAACTGTCTACATTTTACATTTCAAAGAACCCTAACAAACCCAGATCTGATCCATGTAATACTGTGTTAAATGCAAGTCCATAAAACATTACTTAGCTTTTTACTATATTTATGCATGGTGTATGAATTGAAAGTATACAAACCATCAAAGTGGCTGCTGCAAACCTTGGACATCCTTTGTGTCAATATATCAAATCTCCTCAGAGTAACCAAGAAAACCAGATTATTAAAGCTTTTTTAGGTTAGAGTGTTGAAAGGGAGAAAGGGCAAGGTCAAAGAACCATGGAAAATGGTTGAAAATGCAGCAGCAAGAGAATTTCTTTTGCAATGGGTAGCTGTAATAATTTTTAATAATAATTCTCAATAAATTGTCTTTTCACAGAAATAAGAACTACATGTTTCCTGTAGGCAGCAGTCTTTTTCATAAGCAATGTCTCAGAGGGAGAAAAATCACATGATCTACTAATTCCTCTTTATTAGATGTTCCCTGTGGTTTAGCTCAGGCCTGAAAACAATGATGAAGCATTTTGGCAAAAAGATCCATCCCACTAATGCAGCACTGGAGGACAGGATGGAGAAGACCTCCACAGCTACCATAGCTTTTCCTTTCGTGCTCAGATAGGCTGGAACAAATGAGACCCACACACTGCAGAAGGCCAACATGCTGAAGGTGATGAACTTGGCTTCA